TACGGCATCAAAAGGATCCTAGTTTGGAGTTTGTAGGCAAAAGTTGCTTCTTTCATGTCGTATGTTATGTTTGTGCTGATTGACATACTGTGTCATGCCAACATGATGGCTGTTTCATGTTATGCTAGCATAAAGACTTTTGTTATGTTGCACTGTCCCAAATATTGTGAACTCATGTCACACCCTGTCATGGCATGAAAAGTTTTATGGCTTGCCATCTCTAATGAAGTTCCTTGTTCAAAATATTAGCTGATAGGACGAAGCAACCAAATGTAGGGAAATCTTGAATCTCAGAAAGGGTTGCAGGACAAACTATATCTAATGAGTTGGATCTTGATGTGAAGGAAATTTTTGAGAAATATTTCAAGTACTTCCTGAGGCTTATATCCTTAATGGAAGAATGCATTCTTAAATGGAAGCAATTATGGTCACTCTTTGACGAGAAAATTGTTGCACCATGGTAGAGTTTTTCTCTCCACTTGTACATGGTGTTTGAAGAGACAAAAAGTTTTGCCGGTTATCATGGATTAGTAGGGAGAGTCTTTGAAAGTTGTACCGTTAGGCTTTAATACCAAATTGAAGCACAGCAAACTAGGGTATCAAAAGATAGGAAAAAGGAAAGAAAGGGGATAATTTTGCTTCCCACTTATACGAATTGGCCACAAACACAATTGTCAGGTTTGTTAGGCACTTAATTCAATGGAAGTATCGCTAGATTTTTATTCATAAGCTGTCTTTTAATAATGATGAACTACTAAATTATTTTCAGGGTGCTTAGATAGCTTAGTATTACTAGAATCCTTGAATAGAAAAATGACAAGAAAATAAGACATAACCATTAACAAAATATCATGGCCATAAAAGTTGTGCTAAAATATAGTAATTACAGCAGTGATCCTCTGCTACATATGGTCCTCAACCAGTTTGGTTTGTTTGAGTCTTCTAGATTCATTCTCTCATTTTTAAAGACTAATGATAAACTGGTTGTATAATGTCATCGTCTGATCAACATTGACTTGAATCATTGGCTTTTGCTATTGATAGAACTTATGTGTCAATAATTAGGTTGGTGATTAACTGCTTAGCTATTTATACATTCATCTTCTTGCAATATTTATTGCTTAACTGATAGGTCCACATACTTTCATTTTTTTTTATGCCTGGCAAAAGAAGGGGTTCAATCAACCGGCCCCCAACACCTGATGCAGAGAATAATAATCAAGACCGAGAACCCACTCTTCAAGAAATCATAAACATCAAGGTTCCTTTTTTTTTCTTCTTGTTATTGTATAATAAAGGAAATTAATGCTGATAATGATCTCATCATCAAATTTTTTAATAAATTAATTTCATTTATTTTGTGTTTTTTCTTGCTAGTGTTTAGCTTAAAAATTAAACTGTTTTTGCTGACACCTTTAGTTAATCGAGAGTGGAGAAAAAGAACGGTTGAAGGAGCTTTTGAGGGAAAGGCTCATAGAATGTGGGTGGAGGGATGAAATGAAAGCTCTCTGCAGGTTTTTATTTTTATTTACTCTTATTATTTTTTAAGTTTTCTATTGTTGGTCTTGAGTTGTGGCTCAGAAAATTTCTCTTTGTTGCTACTTGTACAACATTTGGTTATACTGTTTATAATAATGGACTTTTGCTGAGTGAAAAATTGGTGAACTTTTTTATGGTGCTTGAAACTTATGAAAAGAGTATCTAATCACGAATCTGCATTTTGTTATGGCTTCTTCAATGCATAAGATTTTGTTAGGATTTACTTAATAAATTAGTAAAGTAGGAACATGCACAAATGCAGAAAGCCTGAGAAAACTTTCTCACAGCTACTTCTTTAGCTTATTCCTGTTTCTTATCCTTGATTAGAGAACTCCTACTCATTTCTTACGGCCTTATCATTAACATAGAAACCATAGAAGCAAGTGTTTGATTTCTCGCAACATGTATTGCAGCATTTCATTTTTCTTATATGGTTACAAGTAATAAAACAAAACAAAAAAGATAATGATATAAGCTGAATATTCATATAAATGTCTTGACTATAAGAGGATACCTATATAAGACAATAACAATATGACATTCTATGGCTATATCAGGAATATATATTATATATTCTAATGCTCACCTGTATCATGTGCACCAAACTAGTTGCAAGTGATCTTCACATGAGCTCCTCCTGAAGATGATAAATATTATGAATTAACAATATATTCTATAGAACTTCTTCTCAAATAGATTAGCAATCAATCTCAATATGTTTAGTTCTTTTATAAAAAATGAATTCGAAGCATAGTTACTAGGATCACTCAACTGCCTTGCAATCTTCATAAGAAATTTTTCCAAGTACTTCGTGGTATTGGTTGCTCAGGTTCATTTCAGTTTTTGATCTAGATCTCAAAAATTAAAGACCAAAAATTATGAAAAATGGGGGTAACTTGGTAAAGTAAGATCCTAAAGTATTTTAAGAGAAAAGATATCTAAAACCTTTTAAATTGAGATTAGTTGGAACTAGCATGAAAGAGGTAGGTTTCTAACTCTGTTCTTTTATTGGAACCTTGAATATATTGATTATCTTTCTTAAGAACTTATAATTCATTTTTTTTTAAATAAGAACTTGTAATAGATTAAGTTCGTTCTTTAGAAATTTATAGCATTGGGTATTGATGTTCATGTTGTTGCTATTAAAAAGATTTGAATCCTAGATCTCTTCTCATGGAAAAGAAAAAAGAAACCAATAGAGTAGAATGTATTACTAAAGTATTATTTATAGTCCAAATAATGAACTTAATTAGTGGGTTTACTAGAATATATTGCATTGCAGGGACTCATTGCCCTTTTCAATTTAAACTTGTGAACTCTTTTTTTTTCCAAAGAAAAAACTCTTGCCATTTCAACACCACTGATCTCTTTCAATTTAATTCAAGGGCATTTGCAAGGAAGAAAGGGAAAAGCAATGTAACGGTGGATGACCTGGTACAGGTTATTACTCCAAAAGGCAGAGGTAGGTTTATCTTCTTCTGATTTCCTAATCCTTTTAGCCACTATACAGTTTGTTAACTCTCTGGTTAAGAGGGACTTTTAGAGTTTTTTATTTTATTTTTGCTGCATGAGAACATCTGCTGGTGTTTAACTTACAGCTTCACTTAATATGAAATTTGTTGCAATCTCATACTTCCACATCCTTTCCCACCCATTGTTCAGCAAAAGTGAATATATAGCATATGTTCAAATCTCAGGAATTTATGTGGGGAATTTGAACTTAATTTGCATTTTATTAAAAAAAGGTGTTTGCATTTTGGAATAAGAAATTG